CTGGGCAGAGGAGCCCCTGTTCTCTGTGACTTGCTCCTGCTTGCCAGCTGTGAGCGACTGAGCCCGAAAGGCCACAGGCAGTGGGTGCCAAGCCCGGGTTCTCTCACACCAGTGCTCCTCTCAACCAGCAGCAGGGGTGGGGCTGATCCCGCAGGAAACAAACTTCCCGCATAGCCGCCGCTCCTTTGGGTGACAGGGAGGCTGGGCTCACGGGGCAGTGTGGGGCCAGGGCCTCTCCCGGACCCTGACTCTCCTCTAGTAATGGGTGCTCCGCAGAAAGCCCGGGGCCCTGGCCTCACCAGGTCAGCTGTCCTCATTTGGGTCCCGACAGCCAACACCTGGCCTGGTTTTTGCTCGTGTCCTGGGCTTGACAACTGGCCTTGAGTTTCTCCTTGACTGAATGGCCCAGGGTGAGGGCATGTCGGCCAGTTTCGGGTACCTGCTATTTGGGGGAGCTGTTCCTGCTCAGCCTCTTTCCTCACCCGCCTCCTCTTGGGCTTTCTTGGAAAGGGGAGGTAATGCCCACTCTTATTTGTGCTGGTGGGGAGTACACAGGTTCCTGGCCCAAGTACATGTCTCCGTCACCCCAGCTCTTCTCATTAGGTTGAGAATCTGATGAACAAATAATCTCACCTCTCTGCTTGCCACGGCTAACAGTATCCTTTGAAGGTGTAGTGGAGCTTTTTGTCTTTCCTCTGCAGGGTAGAGACCGGCAGCTTCTGTCCCCTGTGACTACCTCTGCTTTGCCCCCTGCCTGGCCCTCTGCAGCTAGACTTACAGCTGGCCCACAGCAGGGCTCGGAAATATTGGCTGAACAAGTCCACTTCTTTATGAAAAACACATCTTAATTCTTTTTTTTTAACTATTTCTTAAAAAAGATTTTTATTTATTTGTGCATACAGAACTGGGGTACAGGCCAGAGGCGCAGGGGGTGAGAGACTTCACCAGAGACATAGTGGGGAGCAGAGCAGGCTGACTGACAAGGTACACTGCTGAGGGGAGCAGCGGGCGGGTCAGGAGAGGTCTGCCACGCCATGTGGTCACCTCCCGGGCAGGGGATCGAACTCATGCGGAAGTGGCTTTAGCTTCTTAGTGCTGCGCTTTAACCTGCTGTGCCACCAGGGAGGGCCACATCTTCATTCTACCATGTGCAAGTTCCCTCAGAAATGATCAGGCCTGACATCTTGTTTTGCAGATGAAGAAGCTGAGGCCCAGAGGTGAGAAGGGACAGGCCCAAGGTCACAGTAGTGAGGCCCTGACAGAATGGGGCTGGGATGAAAAGTGTTGACTTTAGTGTCTCCACAGCCCTCTTGCAGTTTGCAACTGTTTTCATAACAGTTTTCTCTACCTGTGTTGACACCAGAGAATTCCCCCTCTTTAGAAGTTGCCATCCATATTCTGTTCTTCTTGGGCATTTCTTATGGAGGTCCCAGCCACAGGCCTCCTTGCCACAGGCTGCCAGCCTGACCCCCCTGGAGGCTGCCTGCTGTCTCTCCTCCCAGGTGAGGCAGAGAAGGGAGAGCCTACATTGTGGTGAGTGCCAGGGCGGGCTCCCAAGCCTCTTCTCCAGGGCCTGCAGGGAGATGCTGGAGGCAGTGTAAGTGGGGAGCATTTGGCTGCGTTTTCCCATTTCGATCCCAAGAATGCCCCTGACCCTGATGAGAGAGGAATGAGATAGAGGAGACTGGAAAGAGGACGCTGAGCACAGGAGGAAGACCAGCAGAGGTGGGGGCAGGAGAAGGAAGATGAAGAAGAGCGGGGAAGAGGATTTTCAAGACTGAGTTCCTGCATGTCACCCCAAGACTCCTCACAAGTCAAGCATGCTGAAGTATGAGGACGCCGGAGCGAAACCCTCACTCCAGAAGCGCAGGATGGGACGGCCCAGCAGACAGTCCCCTGGGCACCACTTGATGCCTTTTCGTCTTCCCAGCTGAGCGGTGCTTCCTGCAGGGCCAGGCGGAGGGTGGACGTAGGGCTATCCAGTGCTCCAGTGGGTGCAATACTAGCCACAGAGACCATTAAAGATTTTCTAGTAGCGCTGCTAGGAAAGTAAAAAAGAAATAGGTGACATTGATTCTCCCCGATATGTTGAAATATTGTCTTTTTATTGTTAATGAGATACTTTGCATTCTGTTTCTCACACTGTCTTGGGAACGCACTGGTCTCTTGCAGCAGCTCCAGGTTCGGACCAGCCTCGCACGTGAGGGCCCCTGCATGGACAGTGCTGGCAGGGGAGGACAGGCAGCTCCCCGCCCTGCTCTGACCCTGGCACCTCATGTCGTTTTACTTGCTCTTGTGCTTTGCATAAACGTGGTGCGATTGCCTTGCGTTGGCCTTTGACCAACACGGGCCCATTATCCTTGGGTTCGGACCCCCCGGTCCCACATGTATAGATTCAGCAGACAGTAGACGCAGGCAGCTTGCATGTGCGGGTGCTGATCCCTCGGACTCGGACGGCTGTATATGTTCCAAGTGGATTTTCTACCAGGTGGGGTCTGCTTCCCTAACCCTACATTATTCAAAGGTCAACTGTTTTTTCACTGCCAGGTGTCAGGTACATGCCTGGAGGTCTTTGGCTGGGTGTATGTGTGGGGAGGGGGTGTGGCATTGACAACTTTGTCTGTGGGAGCTGGGGAGAAGGATGCCAGAGCAAAATAGAGCTCCTGTCCCCAGCTGTGCTGCGGCCTGGCTGCCTCCTACACAATGAGTCCTCCTGTGCAAGTTCCCGGAGGCCCGGCTCCAGCAGGTCATCTGTGATGTGTAGTTCTTCCAGCTTCCACTAGATGTCAGGCAAGTATCTGGAGGCAGGGGTACCTTCTCCTTCACTTGGTTGCCATATTAGTAAGCGCTAATCTGCGTTTTCCCATAAATTGGCCTGGGAATGTTGGTTTCCGAGGGCAGGGCCTGAAGATTCCATTTCTAACATTGGGCAGTATCTGTTGGCCAGAGCCCAGCTAGGAGCCACAGCCAGCCCAGTGGCTGCTGGGACCCTGGCTCTTCTCTTCTTTCCAAAGTCTCATCCTTGGCCCAGCTGGGCATGTAAGAAATGCCTGGGTGGTTTTTGGGTTGACCACCCCTGCAGACTCCTCCCTGAGAATGTCCAATAGATCCTTGAAGGACTCCCCTCTCAGAAGGCTCCGGAAGAATCTCTCTGCCCCTCACATGAGGTTGTCTTCCTAGTGCTCTGTTCTGAAGGTAAAGGTGAGAATCATTTCCTAGCTGAAGTGCAGACGTCTTGCTCTTCCCGCTCAGGGCCCAGCTCAGGACTCACGTGGCCTGTGGCCCTTGTGCAATACATAAGCCAGCAAGAGTTTCTCAAGTTACTGGCAGAGCTGGGCTCTCTATACAAATGTAGGCCTCTGTGGCTCCATGGTTATTCTTTTTCATACGACCCTAGACCATTACTGCCATCAGTTTGGCTGTCAAATTAAAGCCAACCCTGGTTGTTATCCATCTCTCCTGATGGTTACTTGGGGCCCCTTGAGGATTAGCTCAGTGCCACTATCCTGCTTTCTCAGGGCTCACATCAGCAGACAGCATGGAATGAAGGTGAAGAATGAGCACTCTGGAGTCCGACAGGCTTGGATTCCCAACCCAGTTTGACCACTGGCCAGCTGTGTGATGTTGTGTAAGTTACTTAACCTCTCTGAGCTATAGTTTCCTTATTTGTACAAAGGAGCTGATGATTGCTGCTCCCTCACTGGGTCAGAAGGGTTAACTTAGCCAATGCACAGAAAGTGTCCAGAGAGGCTGCCACTGCAAGGCGTGCTCCGTGCACCTGGCTGCGTTTATTATGATGATCACACACACGCAGTCTCCCTAGGGTCACCTCCGTGCACGCCTTGGCTGTACCCCAATTCCAGCCTTATGGTTGCCTTCTGGAAGCCCCATAATTGGCACCCTCTGCATTCTGGCAGAACCCCCATTCTCCGGCTCTAGGTGAGAGTGAATTTGCACAGTTTCCTTGTGGCCCTAGCAGCTGCTGCCAGTGTGGGAGTGAGGGATTCGTAGCCTCAAGGAGTCTGCTGCCTATTTTGCGCCAATGTGAACAGCCGACCTTTCACGGATGTCCCTTTTTTGTAATAAATATTGCAAATGGCCAACACTGAGAGTTCAGTTCTTTCAAAGCAACTTTTCAGGACCCCGTTGGGGAATTCTAAGCAAGAAAAGTGACATGGATCTCAAAACTTTGTATTCATCCTGCTGACAACTTTGCATTTGTCTTTTAGAAGTGCCTTTTCTTTTCCTGGGACTTTGCTTCTCTGACTGGCCCCTCAGGGCTGCCCTGTCATTTCCCAGGGCCGGCAGCGAGTTCATCAGACAGGAGGAAGGAACATGAAAGACTTTTCTCAGCCCACCAGGAGGGGTGGCTTGTCTGGCAGGCAGCAGTAGTAAAGAGACTTCTCTAGCTCAATGAAGCCATCCACTGTCTCTCCAAATGCTGCTTCTGCCTTCGGCCTTGCTTTGGTGAGTTTAAGACCAGCTGTCCCCAATGGGAACGGGTTTCAGGCCATGCGCAGACGCCAGCTTCCTAGGTATGGGAGTGCGGGTTAGCTGGGGGTTTAGGGCTGAGGATCTTTGGGGTATGCCCCTCACATGCTCTCTCTAGTTTGCAAGGAGCCCACATCATGGGATTGGGTAACCGCACTTGGTAATTCCTAGGGAGGATTAAAAGCAGCTGGAACTCCTAGAACTCTGGTGGATGAAAACTTGTGAGATTGGATGGATGGTCCAAGGTCATCCCCTCTTGTCCTGGGGCTGCTTCCCAGCTCCCCTTGTATGAGACGGGGCTGCAAGCCCCAGCTCCGGCAGTGGAGTGGGGTGGGCGTGTGTGTCAGTTCTGGGGATGGCCTCTAAAGCACTGGCAGGAGGACCTTAGCTGCCAGAGTGTCAGCAGAGTCAACTGTGTGCCAGTGGTGAGGACCTGGGGTCTCCTCATTTGAGTGTCACATGAGCGGGGAACAAGCCTGAATTATTTCCAGCCAACCCCCATCTCGGGAGCATCTTCCTGTGGTTGGTATGCCAGGGCCAGTGCTGACGCTCAAGGTCAGTGGGCCCAAG